CTTCTTCTTCTTCTTCTTCTTCTTCTTCTTCTTCTTCTTCTTCTTCTCCTTCTTCTTCTTCTTCCTCCTCTTCCTCCTCTTCCTCCTCCTTTTTTTTTTTGTTTGTTTTTTTGAGACAGTGTTTCTCTAGCTTTGGAGCCTGTCCTAGAACTCACTTTGTAGACCAAGCTGGCCTTGAATTCACAGAGATCTATCTGCCTGCTTTTGTCTCCCCTCCCATCCTGAATGCTGGGATTAAAGGCTTTTGCCACCACTGCCCGACTGAAGGTCTTGCTTCTTGTTGTCTCATTCCCCTAGGAGCCTGTGTGGCCTACTTCCTTACTAAGAGGCGAGAGTACCGCAACTCTCTCAACCCTTTCAAAGGCCTAAAGGAAAAAGAGGAGAAGAAACTTCGAAGTCGCCGATACCGGGTAGGTTTCTAGGCCTTCCTTTTGAGGTTTATACCAATAAGCTGTAATGTGAAGAGTATACCAGAGGAGCTGAAACTATGGTGGACGGACTGGAGGGTAGACAGACAGACAGATGGAGGTTGAGCTAGCTCAGAGATCTGACTTGAGGACTGGGTACATTTAGACACAGATTTTACATGTCCTTTCTCCCAACATAAACTCTTTCTACAAACCCATAGTCTGTTTCTGCTCCTAATCTCTGTCCTGGGTCTTACCGTAGCTTTTTGCCAACCGATCCAGTATCATGAGGCATTTCGGCCCCGAGGACCAACAGCTGTGGAAGGCTGTGACAGAGGAGCTGATGTCCGATGAGGAGGACAGTCTCAATGAGCCAGGTGTGTGGGTGGCCCGCTCTCCCCGCTTCAGGGCCCAGCGCCTCACAGAGCTGTGCTACCATCTGGATGTCAACTCGAAGCATGGCACCAAAGCCAACCGTGTATATGGGCCACCCTCAGACAGATTGCCTTCTGTGGAAGCCCAGCTCCTTCCACCCGAACTTTACAATCCCAATTTCCAAGAAGAGGAAGGAGGCGGAGGCAACGAGAAAGGACCTGTCTCTCCATCCTTTGACCAGCCTCACAAGACATCCTGTCCTGATTTGAACTCCTTCATTGAAATCAAGGTGGAAAAGGATGAATACAGTCTCTAACAAGGGTCCCTCTGGCTCCTGACACTCTCCACGTACCAGAAACGGGTGACTCAGAAAAATGAGGCGCCTCCTGCAGTCAGAAAAAGCAAATCTGCTTCTCTTAACATAGTGTCTGCTTGAAGTGGAAGCTGGAGACTCTAGTGAGACAGCAGAATTTATGTGGAAGGCAGGGGAGAGGCCCCGCCCCTCCGCACCAATGGCAAGCCCGGAAATGCTTTTTCCTTAAGTATAAACAGTGCCTCAGAGGAGCCTGGGATGGGAAAGGGGAATGGGCCAAAGAAACATGAGGCCTTGATACATGTCCCGATCTCTGATTTTGTTTGCTCCCCTTTCACCCTTCTCCCCCACCCCCTCCTTCATTGTACCTACAGCTCAGGAGAAACACAGCGGGTCCTGTGCTGACCTGGAAGCAGAACAGACCAGCCAGGGTAATACTGCCCCCTGGTGGGAGGTTTCAGTCATGGGCTTTCTCTTCTGAGCAAGGGAATATGGGTTTACTGTTATTTGGTATTAGGGTCTAGATGTGCTAGTTATTGTTTGAATTTTTTAAATGATAGTTATTATTTGTTGGATTATATGAGAAAATTTTATTATTCCCATATTACATGTGATAAAATTAAAACTTAAACATTTCTCTTGTTGCTAGGCATAGTGACTCATATTTAGAATCCCAGCATTTAGGAAGCTGAAACTGGAGGACCACTGTGAGTCCAAGGCCAGATTGGGCTATAATAGTGAGTTCCTGGCTAGCCTGGACTACAGAGTGAAACCCTGTCTCAAAAAAAGAAAAAAACAAAAAACGCCTCTAGGACAGCACTCAGGAGGCAGAAGCAGGTGTATCTCTGTGAGTTCAAGGTCAGCCTTCTCCACAGAGCTACTTCCAGTACAGCCAAGGCCACCCAGAGGAACCCTGTCTCAAAAAGCAAAACAAACAAATAAACAAACTAAAACAAGCCAGGCATGGTGGCACATGTTTTTATAATGCCAGCACTCAGGAGGCAGAAGCAGGTAGATTTCTCTGAGTTCCAGGACAGCCTGGTCTACATAGTGACAGTGGGACCCTCTCTCAACAAAAACAAGAACAAAAGGAAACAAGCAAAAAGTCACTCCCATGTCTCTCTGACGGTTTCTCTTCCATTCTTGTGATCAAGCACACACTGTTTTGTAGCTAGTTCTCAGTCTTGTTGGTCAAGCTGTATTTTGAGGAAGGTGTACACACATGCATTACAAATGGATTAAGAAGTAAAATGGCAGGCAGAGGCAGACGGATCTCTGTGAGTTCGAGGCCAGCCTGGTCTACAAGAGCTAGTTCCAGGACAGGCTCCAAAAGCTACAGAGAAACTCTGTCTTGGAAAAACAAACAAACAAACAAATAAACAAACAAAAAAGAAGTAAAATGGCTTTAAACTCACTCTGTCATGCAGCAAATATTAAAATTGAGTGAGATGGTCTATGCTTATAATTCCAGCCAGAGGGAGGCTGAGGCAGGAGGGTCACACGTTTGAGGACACCCTGTCTCAGGGAAAACAAAACAAAACAAAATGAACGGGGCTAGAGAGATGGCTCAGTGGTTAAGAGCATTGCCTGCTCTTCCAAAGGTCCTGAGTTCAATTCCCGGCAACCACATGGTTTCTCACAACCATCTGTAATGAGATCTGGTGCCCTCTTCTGCCTGCAGGCATACACACAGCATATTGTATACATAATAAATAAATATTAAAAACAACAAAAAACCCAAAATGAACCAACCAGAGATGGACCCTGGGGAGATAAAGGGAATGGCATCAGGAGGCCAAGGTTTTCCTCAGTTACACAGCAAATTCGAGGCCATCATGGGCTATACGAGATACTGTCTCTAAACAGCAAACGCCATAAGCTAGTTCCTTTCTGTGTCATGTACTGTGTTAGGGCCTTGGACACAGAGTTGCTGGGTTCAGATCATTAGGTTTCATTGTCAGGAAAGTCAGGAAGCAAGGAAACAGGATAGGCAAGAGAAAACCCCTGATAAGGGTGGTCACAGAGGAGGGCGGAGGACCATAGTGGTATACAGCTGGGGTGGCTAACGTGCTTCAGCAGTTGAGAATGGCCTCTCAGACAGTGATGTTTAAAGACCTAAAAGAGGGGAGGCATTAACCAGGACAGGGGCAAAGGCCAGGAGAACAACTAAACAGAAGATCAGGACAAAAGTCCAGGGGCAGGAGTGAGCGCAGGCAACGGTTCCTTCAGTTCCTTCTACTGCAGATGGTTTGAGGAGGCCACAATGCTGAGCCAAGAGTCTGGAGAGCTGAGGGGCAGTGAAAACTCACCGAGCCTCCTGCTTCTCCTCTCAGGTCACCAAACTGCTTTTACATGGTGTTGCGAGTCAAACCCGGGGCCTCCTGCATGCTGTGCAAATACTTCCCCAAACAAGCTTTATCCCCAGCCCTGGCTGGAATGTTTTAAAGTCAGGAAGTGAGACAATCATTTCTATGTGTAAGAATCACTTGGCCTCAGGGTAGAGCATGCTGGAAGGAAGCAAGCCTCAACTGTAGCCTGGCTGTAAAGGTGGCGGCGGCGACAACTGAGATGTTTAGGAAGCAGAGCCCATATGACGTGCCTTACAGGACTGGGTCAGGTTTGAGGTTGAGAAGGAAGAGAGGGCTCCATAGTTGGCACCGGCTGCTCTTCCAGACAACCCAGGTTCATTTTCCAGCATCCATATGGCAACCCACAAGCACCTGTCCCTCCAGTTTCTAAAGATCCGATGTCTTCTTCTGGGCTCCTTGGGCACCAGGCATGCACAAGGTGTACAGATACACATCAAGTAAAATAATAGAGGGAGGGGTGCCGTGCAGAGTGAGAGAAGAAACAGGGTTAAAAGTTAGGTTTCTAACTTAGGCAGCCAAGCAGTTTATGACTCTTGCTCAGCAGTAGCTGTGAGAGTAATTGCAGGCGGCCAGGAGAGGCCCCAGGTTAACAAAAATATTGGGTGCTTTTGAGGCTGCCAAGTAGAGGTATTAGCATTAATGTGGGGTGATTGTCATTGGCTTGTTTTTGTGGTACTGGAGGTTGACTTTCGGACCAAGTACAAAGTAAGCACTAATTGCACCACTGAGTGACACCCTCAGCCCTCTCTTTACTTTTTTTTTTTTTTTTTTTAGTTTTTCGAGACAGGGTTTCCCTGTGTAACAGTCCTAGCTAGCTGTCCTGGAACTAGCTCTTATAGACCAGGCTGACCTCAAACTCACAGGGATTCACCTGTCTCTGCCTCCCGAGTGCTGGGATTAAAGGCATACGTCACCACCACCCGGCTTCTCTCTTTACTTTTTATTTTGAGATGAGGTCTCATGACATGACTTGTGCAAGTCTTGAATTTATGACCCTCCTGACTCAGGCTCCACCTGGCTAGTTATTTGAGTTTTTAGTTTGGGTTAAGAAGCCATCTGTACATGTAGTTTTAGAGCTGGAGAAGGCTTACAGAAGTCAGGCCTGGTGGCACATGCTTGTAATCCTAGCACTCAGGTGGCAGAGGCAGGAGGATTGAGTGTTTGAAGACAGCTTGCAACAACCAAATCCTGTATCAGAAACAAAGGGCCATCTGGATGACTTACTGGCTCTACTGCCATGCCAGACATCCGAAGACCTTCATGACAGCAAGAGAGCTGTCAATGTCCTTCACCTGAGCAGCAAAGCGCGCGTGCGCACACACGCGCACACGCGCGCGCGCGCCCACACACACACACACACACACACACACACACACACACATAGAGTGATAATGAAAGGTAGAAGAGGGTTTGTGGCGCTCCAGCACCGGTTTGGACCGCGTCATGAGCACTACTACCGGGCCTTACCCATCAGGGCACCTCACTGACCTTTTACTGGTTTCCGCTTCCTGTTATCCCCGTACACAGCTGTTTGTCTCGGCTGTTCCCACTGTCGCCTTTGAGTGGGTCTTTTTAGGAGCTTCAAAACTCTTCCTAGGACTCGCTCTTTTGGGGCTAAAGAGATGGCTCAGGGATTAAGAGCACTGGTTGTTCTTCCAGAGGTCCTGAGTTCCCAGCAACCACGTGGTGGCTCACAATCATCTATAGTGGGATCTGCTGCCTTTCCTGGCATAAAGGCATACATGCAGATAGAGCACTCATATACATAAAGTAGATAAATATTTATATAAAGAAATGAATTTCTTCTTTCACCAGGGGTGACTTTAATCAACACTTGGGAGGCAGAGACAGGAGAACCTCGGTGGGTTGAGGCAGCCAGGTCTACATATCATTTCAGGATAGCATAGAGAGACTCTGTCTCAAAAAAAATAGACAAGAGCTGGAGAGATGGCTTAGTGATGGCTCAGTGGTTATGAGCTCTGGCTGTTCTTCCCAAGGATCCAGGTTCAACTCCCAGCATCCACATGGCAGCTCACAGCTGTCTGTCACTCAGTTGCAGTGGATCCTTCACCTTCACACAGACATACATACAGAAAAACCACCAATGCACATAAAATAAAAATAGTTTAAAAAACAAAACCAATTAAATAACAACAAATTACTTTCAACTGTATTCCCAAAAGTCAAAACTTCTAAACATTAGAGGTGTGCATACAGCTCAGAGTTCCATCTGGAGGTGGACCCTGTTTTTTTTTTTTTTTTTTTTTTTTTGAGACAGGGTTTCTCTGTAGCTTTGGAGCCTGTCCTGGAACTAGCTCTAGTAGACCAGGCTGGTCTCGAACTCACAGAGATCCACCTACCTCTGCCTCCCAAGTGCTGGAATTTGGGATTAAAGGCACGCGCCATCACCCCCTGGGCTCATCACCGCCTGGGCCCTTATCTTGATTTTAAGAGGTTGCTCATAACAGGTTGCAACCTAATATGTTACCTCATTCCTGATGTTTCCAGTCTGGGAGGAAATTTTCAAGATGAGAGAAAAGCTGTAGGCTTGACCAGGGACAGGCTGATTATCTGGGAAATGAGTTTTGGGAGAAAATGCAGCTTTTACAAAGAAACACCTTCCAGCTTTCTATGTTGTTTGATGTGCTTTTGAGACACCCTGTAGCCCTAGCTGGTCTAGAACTGGCTAAGTAAACCTGGTTGACCCTGAACTCACAGAGATCCTCTTGCCTCTGCCTCCCTCCTGGCTTTATTTTTTGTGTTGAGTGGGGGGGGGGCTATGTAGCCTAGGCTGTCCTAGAAATCACTACATAACCCAGACTGACTTCAACCTAGCCATTCTCCTGATTCAGACTTATAAGTGTTGTGAATATATTCCTATGGTCACTGAAATTATATAAGGTGTCCAAAATATTTAGATGAAAATAATATGATTGATTTGTGTGCATGTAATCTTCATAGTACCAAATACAAAAGGAAGCTGGGTGTAGTGTATACCTTTAATTCCAACACTTAGGAGGCAGTGGCGGGTTGATCTCTGAGTTTGAGAATGACTTCCAGGGCAGCCAGAGGTACACAGAGAAACCCTGTCTCAAAAGGAAAAAAACAAAACAAACAAAAAACAACCTCAAATGCTTTTCTTATAAGGAAAAAAAGAGAGAGAAAATTTTCACCATTTCCTATCTTTTACCATCCAATATGCTATTTTGGATAAAAAATCAACTGCCTGGTGTTCAGTTTTAATCAAGTGCATCTTCTTTATTTTTTCCAAAACAG